ACATACACACATACACTCACACAAATGCCCAGCTTCTTGGGCTACAGACTATATTGGAAAAAAAAGAATCTCTTGGTTCAAAGGCTATTCCTGCTGTAAATTTATGGGGGCCATAGATTGATTGATATCAGTAGCATTACAATAATTCTGGATTTCATTGCAGAGTTGTTGTAAGAATAACTGAGATATGTTTGAAACATAATTCATACACATATTAACTAAGCTGTTGCCATATTCTGCCAATCCACAGCACCATTTTATTTACTTCAGAAGACATGTTTGTTTCTTCTTAATTTTAAAAATTTTCTATTCCTCTGAATGGCAATTTGAAGTGTCAGTTTCATTTTGGAGGACATGCTTCAAAATATAAATCTATTATTTTTAAAGGAACAAGATACCAAAGGAACCCACATACCGCATTCTCCTGTAGCAAGTGCAAATGAAAAAGAATAATGCACACAGTTAAGACTGTATTTGTAGACATGAAAAGTGCACACACACAAGCACACTTATATACATATCTGGGTAGATCCAGTTTGCTGAAGATCTGTTTTGTGTTTTCACTCTCTCTTTTCTACCAAGTGAAAGACAGATCAAACGTGCCATTTCATTGGCTTCTATTTTGGGGAAGGATTAAACTCTTGAAACAGTTAGTTACCACATATCCTTCCTTTTAAATAACCATTAAAAATTAAAAAAATGTTTCCTATGCTATTTTACTGTATCAATCATGTTTGCATGTTTTTAAAATAAACACACATTAGAGCCCAAAAAATGCTTACTGCTCCAGGACACTGTAAGAAATAGAACTAGGTCTTTTGTCCAAGAAACTCAAGGCCAGATGGAGTCTCCGTTATTGTGCCCCTCTACCAATCCTCGTGTCAGTCTGCATGTGCAAGTATGGAAGCTGAAAGTCGCCCACATTTGAAGTTACTGTATGTATGGGTTGATTCTTCTGATCCAACTAGCTATTTAGCAGGGCTCCCTTTTGGGGGCCGTTTCCCACTGCAGGTTCAGATTTCAGCACCCTTGAATGGGGGGGGGAAACATTCTCCAGCTTAACTGTTGGGTGCAATGCTCAACAGGCTTCAGCTCCCAGTTTCCTCAGAATAAAAAAACAAGCAACAGCACAATGAACAATTAGCCTCACAAATTATTCTTGAATGGGCTCTTTTAGATGAGGAAGCTACCCAGTACATGGTAGCCAGATGTGACAACTCTGCCAGTAAGTCTTCTTCCACTATGAAGTGCCCTCAAGAGAGAAGCAGCAACCCACAATGAAGAACCAGGAAGGAAGAAGATGCTATCCCCTTCCATGGAGGTCTTGGTCTTTGAATCCACTGCCTGTTCTAGACAGATCTTCAACACGCATGGGTAAAAGCAGCTAGAAGAAGCTTTCAGGAAACTTACACAGCAGCAGAATTAAATATTCCCTCCCCTTTCCCAGATGTGCTTAATCAGACAGAAGCTTTTCCAAGAGAAGTGAGCCACTGACCAACAAGCAGGGCCTTCTGCTGTGATTTGTTGCTCCAGATCCAGGTGCATCTGTGGAAAAGGACCCCTGTTGTTAAAACCTGCATCAGCCACCATGGGCCACCCAAATTCAACTAACAAAGATGTGTTGATTTGGGAGACCGGAGCCAATAGCAACACAGCTTTCATAGCAAAAAGACAAAGAAGTTGCTATAGACCAGTGTTTCTCAACTCTGACAACTTCAAGCATGGCTGGCTGAGGAATTCTGGGAATTAAAGTCCACAGATCTTAAAGTTGCCAAGGTGAGAAACACTGCTATAGACATACTGCATGAGCTACCAATTCATATGCTGATCTCATGAGCACCTATGGGTTTAGTATTCCCCAAGTGGTCTTTTCAGAGTCCGCTGGATGGTCTAAGAGCATGTGATGCAGCAACATCAGCAGTACTGAAAATGCTGTGGATCAGGCCCTTGAATGGGAACCCAATGGGTGCTGACCAAGAGTAAACGGATACTAATTATATATGTAACAAAATCTCCCCTCACCCCTATGGGTGGTATGTGTCTTGATAAATTATCTAGTTATGTGATTCTCTTAAGATGGCAGACTCCTTGGAGGATGGGCAACCATGCAAGAGTCTCTAACAGAAATCTGCTGCAAAATGCAGGGGGTTGGTGTGAAATTTCAGGATAATTAGTCTATCCTGTGCTTCACTTTAGCAACCTGGCTGCCATCGTACTATTGTTACTATGCTGTCTTGGATGGAGCATTTTATAGCCGCTTACCTTTTCAGTGCCACCCCTTGATAAAGAAACTGCTTGTGCCATTCACCAAGATCCTCAAGAGCTCTAGAGGCTTTTCTCCAACTCTTCACCCACGAACACCAAATTACAAACTACTCTTTGTTCAGCCCTGCATTTGTCACAATGACTGCTACTTAAGAACAAATGCTGGAGAGTGCTGCGTGAGAAGAGCTCATATTCTCTGACTCAGGGGCACAGCAATAACCTTTTCTGACACCCCCGCACCCATCCACATAACTGGCTGAGAAGTCGGGAGGAAGATGATCCCATTTCCTTCAACGAACAAAGCTGACTACGTCCATATTTGAGACAGCATAAGCTATTTAAAATCACCCCTATTTAAATCCTACCTCAGCCACCCCTACATCTGACAAAATGAGCTGCAGCCCCTAAAAGCTTATGCCTCGCAATGAAAGTCATACAACAGGTCAAACATGAAGAGACAGTAGCTGAATGTAAAAAAACACACTTAACACACAGAAATGGAAGGGATCCATGATGTCATCAAGTCTAACTCCCTGCACATTGCAGGATTCACTACCCTGATGACTATCCAGCCTGTTTGAAAACCTCCAGTGAAAAGGAAGAAACCACTCCATGCAGCAACTTATTCCACTGACTGACAGCTCTTACTGTCATCCTCTTAGTTCTAGCCTTACCCTCTGGAGCAAGTGAGACTCAGTTTGAACCCTCTACAATGTGACAGCTTTCTAGCTATTAGAAGACAGCTACCGTGTCCCTCTCTCAACCTTCTCTTCTGCAGCTAAACATTCCCAGGTCTTTTCACCATTCTTTGTAGGACTTGTTCTTTTCACCATCTTGGTAGTCCTTCTCTGGATTTGCTCTGGTTTATCAACGTCCTTTTTAAACCTGGGTGTGCAGAACTGAACGCAGTACTGCAAGTGGGCCTGACCAAGGCAGAGTAGAGTGGTGTAATTACTTCCTGCAATCTGGATATCCAAGGTCCCAGATTCAATCTTTTGCATCTCTAGGTAAAACATTTTGAGGAGCCCCTTGTCTGTTTCCTGTAGACTATTCTGCCCACAAAACGAGTGATACTTCGTACGAGAAAGCTTTATATACACCTCACTCCCAATAGCCCTATTGCATCCCGTAAACTGACCGCATTTCAGACCCAGAAAATGGCAGATGAGCATATTTATCCTACACACACTTGAGATTATCTGAATTTGCCATTTAAAATTTGTATATACACTTGAGGCATGCTTTGATCAACCCATTGTTCCATTAAACCTCCCCTGCGTTTATGAATTCCTACTTACAGTAGTGTCTCATAAATTATGTGGCGAGCAGCTAAACTCTTACATGTTAAGTAGCAGAAATTAGGAGAAGGAATTTATGGAACTGATATTCACCAAGATAAATTGCAGTTTGAATATTTGCAACAACAAAAAAATTCATCTGTTCTTGCAGTTCCCCACGTATTTATTCTTCTACCCCCCATCCCAATTTTCAAAACTAGCATCTTTTAAAAGGAGATAAAGAGATTTTTCCTGTCCCATATGATGTTTTTGTAACTAAATCAAGAGCTATAGATTTATTTTTATGTTTCGGCTTTAAATATATTGCAAGTTGCCCTAAATTTACAAAACAAGAATTGAGCTAAAGCAGGTAGCTGTTTATGATTTCTTTTTCAAGCTTATGATTAGGCCAAAATGAAACAGAAAAAGAAATGTAGCTATACTCTGCTTCGAAGGGAAATACAGACAGCGAGAGAAAGAAACGATTTATAATTGGAATTAAAGAGCCTTGATGATAGTTTTACAAGTAACTTTCTCTTTGCTTCAACTCAGTTCCTCTGCAGCCAATATTAGCAGAGAAAGCCTTTGGGGGGCAGTATCTCACCAGGTTACACATGGATGGTTGCTCTGTTCCACTAATTCTGCTTATTTAAAGCAGCAAGAATCATTTCACATACATAAATTGCAGTCTCATTCAGTAACAACCCCCACCCCAAGTGTAACACATACAAACACTGCATATAATCATATTACAAAATAATGCCCCAGCTGATGCTTAAGACAGCTTCCAGATAAATAGCTGAGGAGTCACCTTTGAATATAACACACCAAGAGGCACCATTTATAAAAATGCAATGATTCCAACATGATTGCCTCACAGATTCCAAGGCCCACATTTATGCTTCCAAGGACAGGCAAAGTCCACAAAATGGCTCCTCCTCACCAACACTGATTAACCACAAGCCCAGTATGGCTCCAAGGCCTATTTTGTATATGACCCTGAACTTCTTTCACTCTGAAGATGGCTTTCCAATTTTCTCACCTCTGTAGAAGGTGCAGTTTCCCACCCAACTTAAAATACCTGTCTACTTTAGAGGTCCAGACAGCTTTTTCCAAAGCAATAGGTGATACCTACACCATTGGTTTGAACTTGATACTACAACCTCAGGAAGTAAGTTCACTAGTCAGATAGTTAACCAATTTTCAGAATCTCACCAAGATCTATTTTTACAGATTAGGGTTAAGTGGATCCTGAGCTACATTTCAAAAGTTTCTCTGAGACTGTTAGTCCTAAAGAAGGAAGTCCAAAATAAAGTTCCCTTGATAACCATGAGATGGTGCCCTCAGCAAAAAGGAAATCTAACGTTCCTACCAGAATACCACAGGCCCAGAATGGGAAACGGCTCATTTCAAGCTAGAGCGGAAAGGAAAGGAAGAAAAGGGCACATCCTCATTAACTCATACTCCAAACTGCTTAATTCTGTCTCTTAGAAACACTGTTTACAAAAGTTCTTGAGCAAGGAGAATTTGTTTTAAACACACACATATATAGACATACATACTCTTTCTAATCCACATTCATACATTGGACAAAAATATTTGGCTCTGAATCCCTCAGGCAGCAGGTAGTCTGTGCAGGAGTCCATGTCATCGCTGGCTTAAGTGGGACACGACATAAATGAGGCCCACCAAAAGCAGGCCACGCACGCCCACCATCATAAGCAGGAAGAGCAGCAAGATGGACATCACTGGCTCCACCACTTGGTTGCCAAGGTGCCAAGTGGGGAAACCCATGTTCACCAGCTGCTGATTGATGTCTGAAAATGGTGAACGCTCCCCAGGCCTCACACCCTGGCGCTGTTGCTGCTGCTGGTAGTGCCGTGGTGGGTTAGGGCCCGTGCCTGGCATTGCGTTGAAAAAGCCCTGTTGAGCAAATAAAAGAAAGTGAGCAGATACAAGAAGCTGTCTTTCAATCAACAGAAATGGAGCTGCAAAAGGAAAAGCCAGAAATGCAGCTCTTTAGGTAATTTATAGTAGCATTTATTTAACAGAGCTAGATCCCTACTGGGTCAGCCCCAAGATATATCTAGCTCAAAGAGGACTACAGGCAGTCTCGTTTAGCGACCACAATTGGGACTAGCAACTCAATTGTTAAGCAAAGCTAAGAGAAACCACGACTGTGCTTATGATCTTATTTCAGCTTTCTTTTGTTTTACAGACCTGTGAGGTCATAACTGCGAGGATTGGTTGTAAAGTTACTTTTTCATCACCACTGTAACTGTGAACAGTTGCTAAATGAGGCAGTTCCTAAATGAGGACTACTAATATTCCAAAACCAATTTACACACAGTTAAGAAAAATGTAAGGAGAGAGCCTTCCTGGACTTCAGAATCCGTAACTCCTGGACCTTCAGTTGCCCCCAAGATTAGAATGGCCCCCTCTCTGTTGTCATCCAGTGATGACTCTGCTTTTCTGCAGCCTTTGGAGATGAAAGTGAGGCTCACAGCTCCTTAAGAACTAGTTATTTGGTTAGCCAATATGTTGCTTAAATGTTTTATTATTCTGATGTTATGTATGCTTTTTATTTTTTCATGATTGTACGCCTCTTAAAATCTAAGGAGAAGGTGCTACACAAACATATAGAGGTTTCCAAGGCAGACATAACATCTTCCCACTCACACTGCAACAACTGAAATCAGAAGACATATTCCTCCAATATTGGACCCAACCCATTCTAATTAATAGCATTTGGTAACACTATCTTTTAAAATCCACCATACACAATAGTGAGTCCCACAGTTTAAGCCCCTGCTGCATGGAAAACTACTCCCTTTGTCCCAATTCTCAATATTTGGCTTACAGGATAGACCTGAATTATAGTATTATAAGAGAACAGGGAGAAATGTTCTACCTGTTTTCTTCACACCACCAATAACTGCATACATCATGATCTTGTTACTAATCTACCTAGTCCTGCAGGTACTGATCAATCAGTAGCCCCAGCCAGCATAACAAATGGAAAGGCGTGCTGAAAATTGTAGCTGATTAGTGTAAGAAGGCTCACAGGTTACCTATCCTTCCTCAACATTTAATGCCAATGGATATGGCTCTAGAAGAGATGCAGCACAAAACCTACACAACTTTAACACACTCTGAAGCTATTATGCAAAGATGTATACATTCCATCCTATCCTTAAAAAGAGATCAACGCAACTATAACTTAAGGCATTAAAATACAGTAGAAAATATAAACAAGAGCACAGGGGAACTTAAGATGGACTTCTGCTGATACTACAAGGATTTCTACACATTTCTCTTGGAAATTTTGAACAGATTTGGAAAGTGTGTGGATTCTGCAGACAGAAAGCAGTGATTAATGCCACAAAAAATAATTTCACAAGGAACCATAAGCAGGAGTATGACAGCTTGCTTTCTCTCAGGAATGCCCACGTACAGAGATGTATTATATATAACACTCAACAGATTCCTTTCAGAATTAAAGACTAGAGAGAACACAAGTTCACTCAAGGTCTCACATACTTCACACATACACATATATACAGCTGAATGTGTGAAATGGCATAATTTAGTACTACCATACTTTCTTAAGCCCATTTATGTATGCTAATTACCATTTGAAATTGCAAAATAAATAAATAAAATAAGCATGCATGCTTGAAGTAACCCAAAGTTCATCCTGTTCCAGTTTTCCATGGAGTGCTTTATTCTTCCAAATCTTACAGCTGGAGAGCTAGCGTAACACACACACACATACACACTAAAAGAAAAACTGCTCATGCCTTGCTTGTGAACTTAATCTCACTGACCATAGTGAGAAACAAGATTCTGGACAAAAGAGACTGTTATTCCACTCCAGAGTTCTTTGTATAATCTTTCTAATGATATGTAAATTGGCTCTGAAAATAGTTCTCTTCGAGCAGATTAAACAAAGTAAATAATCAAGCATCATTCCATGGCTGAAGATAGGGCTGGGTGACATTTCAGATTCATAATGGAGCTTCGGTCTGTTCAAAAGCACAAATATAGCACCTGTCTGTAACTTTTACAAAAAGCCGCATATTTTCCTGGAATCACTTGGCAACTTTAGAGGATGCCCATATGGTCCTGGGAAAGGGTGCAGCTACTTTAAAAAGCTACAGACTTTGTACTTTCATATATTCCTTAGTGCCTTTCTCAAATTTCCAAAGTGCTATATCACTGTACCAGAAAAGAAAAAATTTGCAAGTTCTCACAGAACAATTCTAAGCAAACCACAATACATACACCATTCCTCACGAGGCGAGATGAGTTCTCCCTACTCTGAGTAGTCTGTTGTACTCGAGGGTCATCATCTTGTACAATATCTCCATTGGCCAAAATCCGCACCATCCTTATAGCAGTGTTGTGTTTGCTTTGTCACACCTGTAATTTACAGCAGAAAGATTTTAATACGATCACTGGTTCCCTTAGGAACACAGACCCAGATAATATGAACTGGCATATACCAACACTATACATATTTAATCACAACTTTTCACCCTGCAATAATTATAGCAGTAAACCACTTCTTACAGAGTCACAATAGCTAATACAGTACATGAGAATTCTAACAATGCACTGTTGCATTCTTCATATGTAAAGATCTACTATGCATTAGCAATTTTCTTACAATGTTCTATAATTCAATTCAGTGGCACAATTAATTGAAATTATGTTTCCATTGCATACAAGAACTTTTGAAATAATTCACATAAAAAGTAAGAATGATGGCTGCAAGTTGAGATATAAAAACTATGTTCTTTGTCACATTCTATGGCAGCTATATTCTTTGGTGCACTGGGTTACTTGTATGTATGCTCCACACCCTCATCTGAGCCAGAGAATGGAGATGCCATGTCCTATTCTCCCAATTAGAACTACTTTCCAGTTCAGTAACTTTTACCTGATCACAACATTTTAAAGTCAAGTAAATCTGCAGATGCATTCATTCTTGTTTCTGTAAACAATAAGGAAAATATTTTCCATATAAGGAAAATGAATCATGCCTTTTGTTTTTAAAATGTCATAATGGGCACCAATTTGGAAAAGGCATTTCACTCCTGGCTCAGAGAGAATGCTTGTTGCAAAGATATCCACCATCTTCACTTAAAAAAAAAAGAATCCATATTATATGTTCCACAAATAGATTTAAATTAATCTACTTAATCACAATTAATCAGCATAATATTCTACTAAAGAAGATTTATTTATAATGTATGTGGTTGCCCATCTCAAATATATGACTTTGGATGGCTAACAATATTTAAAACAGAATAAAAACAATATAACAAAATTATAAATAACATAAATAGTAGCTGAGGCAAAAAATATACAACTGCTTAATGTAGCTGATTAGTCAGTAAATGAGTCCAGCTGAAATTGTTCTTAAATCTAGAAAGAAACTCATCTTTCTCTTATTCCTTGGAAGAAAACAGGATTCCCAAGATTCCCACAGCCTTATCTACAGAGAATTCCTCACATCCTAGTTTAGTGTTAAATGCAAATCTGGAAAATAGATGAATAAAAGAATGATGTGAGGCAAGGTCCCCCCCACATACTTTAGCTCAGTACACTGAGACCAGCCTGAGCCAATATAGTACTCTTTAAAAACATTTTTTACAACACAGACGATATGAAGCATTAACCTACAAAACCATGAAGTTCCCATTCCAGCATGAACCCATAAGGTCCTCACCTCCAGAACCAACCACATTTATGCTAAAAGTGGCACTATGCCCAGAAAACGCATCCTCAAAATGCACACGCCAACAGCAAAGGCACTAAGCAGCGAGAAAAACTTAGCAAACAGCGATGGCGTCACAATTATTTTCTGGTGCCACGGTCTGAATCCCAGAAAACGAGACGCGATACTCAACTTGGTCAACCTTACGCCCAGGAAATCCTTGCCCTGGCCCAGTCATCTGGAAACTGACCGCCCTGGCCCCGAGAGGAACACTCTGTACATGGCCAGAGGCACGATTAACTATCTCGTTAACTCCAAGGCTATGCTTGTGACTCGGACTATCCCTTTCCCAAGCGCCAGCAAGTTCAGGGAGAAAAGTCCTGCCGGTCAAGGTTTGCTCCGTGTTGGTTTCACGGCTGACAACCTGATTTTTACGGATGGAGCCACAACTCCCCCAGACAACGCGCCCACTCACCGCTCGCTTTCCTCTGTCGGCTCCTTTTGCTGACGTCAGCCTTCCCTCCTTCCGCTGACTGCCCAATATCTCCAGCCTGGCGGCTTCCAGCGGGCGTCATCACCGGAAATTATCCCAAAGAGGGGAGAAGAGAGAGAGAAAGACCAAGGCGGTTGGCCCGCCCGGGTGGAAATGTGAAATAGCTCCCTCTGCAGGCGCCACGACGAACTACAACTTGCTCGGCGGGCTAGTACTGCAGCGAGCGCTCAGACGGCCGAGGGAAGTTCTGTTCCGTGGGGTGGGACGGCATTTTGTACCCCCCAAATAGCCGCCTGGATTAAAATAATTGCTGGGGGAGGGGGTTGCTTGCGTCTGCAGGCAGGGGACAGCCCCGAGCTATCTTGGGCGCGTTTTGGGAAGCCCCGCAGCGTCGGATCTGAACCGGGACCGGAGTCTCCCGGAGCATCTCAGAGATGTCGGCGAGGCGAGGAAATCGGGGAGGGGGCAGGACACAATTGCAAATCGTCGCTGCAACGTTACATGGGGCCAGGTGGGCTCTGGCCGCATCGCTGGGCTCCCGTCGGGAGCCTTTCCGGCTGAGCCCCCTTTGCACGCGAGACATCTTGCTGCAGAAGCGGCCGCGGTGCCTCGCCTGGCCGCTCTTGCGCCGGCTGTGCGTGCCAGGGCGCGCGTGGCACCGCGGGGCGGAGGTGGCACGGCCGCAGCGAGAAGCCCGAGCGCGGAGCGGCCGTGCCCAGTGGCGCCCCATCGCGGAGAACCTGGGCGGGGGGTTGCAGTTTCGGGGGACAGCGGCTTTGCCTTTTCGCGGGGAGCGAAGGGGGCGGGTGAGCGCGGACTGGCGTGGGCATTTTGGTCCGGAGGGGCACACCTGGATGGGCTGCGCCGCTGTCGGCTTGCAAATGAAATGACAGTAGAGGAGTCTGCTCAGCTCCGCCGGTTTTAAATTGGGATATCCGAAATTGGGCAAGAGAAAGTGTATATGCTGCGTTGCAGGACATGAGCTAAATCAGTGTTTTTCAAACTTGGCAGCTGTAAGATGCGTGGACTTCAACTCCCAGAATTCCCCAGCCAGCCTGCGAGTTGAAGTCCACGCATCTTAAAGCTGCCAAGTTTGAAAAACACTGAGCTAAATGAGATAAAGAAGCAAGCCTGGTATTAATTTCCTTAAAGCGCGCAAGTTCCCTGGGTGGCGTGGTGAAATGACCAGGGAAATGATTTCTAGGGTTACACCTAAAAGATTCACAACGACACACTATTGTGTGTGGTTTTCTGCTCCAAACTGGATAGAAGTTTTATTTCGGTTTCTTGTTTGTCACTGGATTTTGGCAGTGCAATTTCTGGAGACCTTAAAAATGGGTCCATGACCGTAGGTGATTCACGGGCTGTGGATTTCTCACTAGAGGATACTCAGAAAGCGAACACATTTTCTCTGTGAGAAGCGCCGTTCTATACAGTTTCCTTAAAATAAAAAACAAACACCAGAACTGCTCTTCCACTTCCTTGTTTTCCTGCCCACATATGGCACCTTTCTTCGATGACCCCACTTTCTTGGAAACATGGATAGGGAATAACCGTCTATAATTTGTCTCTATTTTCTTAATATTTGAGAAAGGCGGGTGGACTCAGTTTCTTTCTCATTTATATGTAAGTAGTTATATGTCAGCAACAGGGTGTCAGCTTCCAAAACCCGATCCACAAATGTATGAATTGTTTCCAAACATCGAAGGAGTCATAATTTTCCTACTGTTTCCCATCTTTGGAGCCAAAAGACTTTGATCACTCTAAACATGTTTATTTTCTGTGTTCTCACCTTTCCAAAGATAGAGTAGGGGAGTGATTTATTACAAATGTTTTCATCTTAAAACCTTTCATAAAAATGGTGATATGCCTCTCCGCATATTTTTAGGCCTCTGTAAATATATTCAACAGTATTATTGAATATATTGTAGGCTGAAATTTGGCTTGAGAACACTTTGGAAATTACCCTGTACTTCACCTCCTCTGAAGTAGACCCTGCCAGTTATTTGTCACTGGGACTTTTTACAGTCCCAGGCAGGCATCCGCCCCCCCCCCCAAAAAAAGGAATGAAAGAAAACTTATGCTAATCCATTGTTTTGTTGAAAAAGCCACAATTACCCAGGTTACATGGGGAGGGTTGTCATATATGATGGCTTGTACATGCCATAAGCATGAGGAAAGGGACAGAAGTGCAAAGGAGCAGGCGAGGCAGAGCCATCTGATTACCTGGGAGGATGAGGAGACAGATAACCAAAACCATACTGAGGTCTTTCCTGTGGTGTGAAAGGAGGCAATATATGGCACACTGCTTATGGTACATGTTATTTGTATCTGTCATTAGGGTGGGATAGAGCAGTGCTTCTCTACCTTGGCAACTTTAAGACGTGTGGACCTTCAACTCCCAGAATTCCCCAGCCAACTGGCTGGGGAATTCTGGGAGTTGAAGGTCCACACGTCTTAAATTTGCCAAGGTAGAGAAACACTGGGTTAGAATCCCATTAGTAGAGAAGAATATAGAAATGCCGGGATCACCACAGTAAGGTCATCCCATGGTGTTATCGGACGTTACATTTCACCTGTAAAGATCGCAGTATGAATTACATAGCTGTCTTTATCATTCCTATGTAACACTTCTGGGGGTATATCACCCATAATCTTGCTTAATTCGGGGCTCTTTTACATGTTGGACTTCCAACATTAAGCCGTTTTCTTCTCATGGCCTCAGGAACAAATAAATTAAAAGGACCCTAAAGATTCTTTTTGATTACCAATTCTACTTCTAAAATAAAATCAAAATTATCCATTGTTTGTTGAAAGAATGATTTGGAGGGTTCTATATTTAACCTATCTGTGTAGCTATAGAAACATGGGTTGTACGTAGTAAGCCTTTACTTTTTATTTAGACTATATATACCCCATGCAGTAACACCAATGTATAATCCTTTAAAAGAAAAGGGAAAAAAATAAACTTTAATCAAATGAGGTGAGGTTTAAGGGCTATGTTTATTACTGTGGCTGAAGTATTGTTAATGGCAGTCAGAATGCTAAACTAGACAGAAAAGTAGCATTGCCATGATTAAACCTCCCATTTTTTTTAAATGCAACCAAACAATAGCTATTAGGACAATTCAAATCTGAATCATGGCTCTGCTGATCTTTTTAAATTCCTTTTCCCTATTTTAAAAAAAATGCTGCTTCTCTCATCTACAAAGGTGTGTGTGTGTGTATGTACACATTTCCATGAATCCAGATTCATTCCTTTAACTGCACAATAGTAGCATCAAGAAGGTCACAAATTTCAGCTAATGAGCAATTTACAGAAGAGGATTCAACCTATTTTCCCTCCCTGTGGCTGCCACGTGCTAACGCTGAAAGAAGTGGGAGATGCTGAACATCCCATTTTCTTTGTTGAATTTTCTGCAACATACTTGCCACTGCAGACTGATACAAAAAGTTAAAAAAAAAAAAATTATCCAAATTTTGTGCAATCCAGATTTATTTATGTATATTAATGCTGTGATGCAAGTCAGCATTCACAAGATTGACAGCTACTCCCCAAACACAGAATCATGATAATCCTTTAGCAAAAACAGGAGAGTTAATACTTTCCTGCCCATAAACCCAGGGAGATCCCCTCAACCTCTCTTCCTTCTAGAGAGGAAAATCATTGTTTTAAATCAGAAATCTAGAGACCAAGGAGAAAAAGGGTAGGCAAAACAGATCCCCCCCCCTTCTTTTTTTTGACAATTCTGTCTCTAAGGAATTGGTAAACATTTTAGCTAGGAATGATTGTTCAGATTCTCATTTGGCTGTCTTTTTAAGTCTGCTTTACTGACTCTTGATATTTTTACTGTGCTGATATCTTTTTCATCCATGCAAGCCCAGGATTTGGGAGAATTTTGTACCACTCAGAATTTCAGGTAATACAACTTCTTTTGATTATTTGCACATTCCTGCCATCTCATGTTTTGCCCAGAATCTTAAACTTCTCCTGTGTACATCTTCTCTGGAGACATGGTCTGTACTTAATCACTCTATATTTCTGCCTGCTTCACTACTGAATGATTCCTTAAAGTTCCAAAAAAATTCTATAGTCTGTTTTTTAAAGAAAAAGAAAAGAAAAATAAACTTTTATTAAGCTTAAGCTTTTGTGCAGCTGATCATATTCCCAAAGTGAAGGAGGGGAGCAAGATCTTTAGTCACATGCTCTAAAAGCTGCAGGGCCACGATTGGTACTACAGAATGTACGTATGTATGTATTATTTCCCTGTTACTTGCCAGTAAGGCACTGAGGTTGTAAGATCCCTGTCTACAGATAGGGATTAGGAGGGAGAATGCCAGGTAAAGGTGACACCTCAAGCAGATAGATGGGTTTGGTGGCAAAAGTAACTGCCAACCAGGTGGCAGGAAGGCAAGGCCAAATGGGGAAGTTCCAGAGGACTTCTGGGAGAGGAGGATAGCCAACTTTTCACCCCATGGGCCCAGCTCCATACCACCAAAATTAGCTTATATCATTAAGATGGATGGATGGATGGATGGATGGATGGATGGATGGATGGATGGATGGATGGATGGATGGAATCTTTGTGGCTTTTTCCAAATAATCTTCAGTAGGTTAAACCCTTTTTAAAAGTTCTTATTGCACACATTTAAATAATGTATGGAGGGGCAGGGGAGACGTGTGCACTGACCACGTTTCCCTACCCCCACCAGCTCTAGCCCTCATTTTCAGCAGGAAACTCTGAAGGACAAATCTTTGGACAATCAGCTCAATATGCGGCCGTAACCTGAACAGGACCTCCAATAAAGCAGCATTTCAGGGAAGTTTTCAGGTTTTCTCCTATTGATTTTCCTATTCAGTGGAGTAGGAAAATGTGGCCAATGCAGACATAGAGGACAGGACAAATATCTGCAGCCATTTCCCTCTCCATGCATTTTTAGAAGAGCCACTTCCAAGGGGAC